GAAAGATAAATGAACTGAATTCAATATACTCGCACACTCATACCTCTAGGGTAATCTCCCTTGATGCGTCGATAAAAAACAGTTATGTCCCTCGAACACGGGGACGCTTTAGCAAAGACCTTTGGCTAAAAAGATCGTAGTCCCTCGATGACCCCTTCGAATGTTGTCTTCGGTAAACGATCTAGTCCCTTACGAAAACTGCTAAAGCGTCTCTACAAGTTTCTTTCTATGCTTGTCCCTTCACATCCAACGATAAGGCTTCCTACTAACTAATGGTAGGATAACACTATTTAAAGAAGGATGAAAAGTACAATAAAGACCTTGAGTAGGTAAATGGTTCCTAATCGCTTTCTCACAAACGAAATAAACCATTTTTCACACAAACACTTTCAAAAATATTTTTCAAACAAACACTTTATACGCATTCTCGAGAATCATTAAAAATTTGCCTTACTATTGGCATTTCTAAATATTTTTCAAACACACGAACACAAAGCATTTTTTCAAAGTGAGCTAGCGATTAAGAGCCTGTAGATAACTACGGATGAAAAGGGTGCTAAGACCTTCCCTTTTCATAATCTACCCCCTGAACTCAATAATTCTCAAAGGTATTTCCTGTTACTTTCACCCTTTCCTTTTTGGATAAAAGAAAAGTCAAAGGCGACTCTTGTTATCTGCAACATTTGCGATAAAGCACAAAAAACAAGTCAGTTCTCCCACCGTATTACACGCGCCTAGGCATAATACCTATTTTTTTTGCTGAGATGAAATATTCATCGTAAAATGTATTATTTGTAATAGTTAATAAAATAAAAGAAAAAGTCTAGCACTCAAAGCTAAAGATTTCGACTCTGGTGGAGATATATCACTCATGGTGCGGAATTTTCAAAAATTCTTGAAACATGAAAAACAATAGTGAGAGGAACAAGAAAAAAATGAAGAAAATACTTGCTTCCAATATAGAAAGAAAGGAAACCTTAGACCAAACTGTTTAATAGGGGAAAAGGAAAATTAAATGAAATCTAAGAAACCTCAGAAAAAGGGCAAGAAATCATACATTTCATAGGAAGAAAATAACATAGAATCCGCAGACGATGAAGAAGCCAACATCTATCACATGAAAAATCATCAATATGGATAGGTAACTTCTTAATTCTCTTATCAAGATTTTTTTCACATTTGTAAGAAGCTAATAAAAGAAACAAGTAAACTAAAACAAATTGTCTCCGTATCCAAGGATACTATTTTTTCACTTGAATTTAAAAATAAAAACCTTGTAAAAGAAATAGAAAATATTAGAGAGAGACAAAGTGATCTAATCCAAGTCTCTTCCCCTCCTAAAGAGGTGGATGAACCTATAAAGTTTGATGAATGTACCGTTTTAAAAAGTAAAATTTGTGATCTTAAAAAAAACTTGTCAAGTTCAACAAGGGAAGAGATAACTTAAATCTTTTATTAGTCTCGCCTATGAACCCAACAATAATAGGAAGAACTTTTATAATATCTACAATACTAAATCCATCTTACATTGCAAAATATTAAAATGAAATTATCGTAATAAAGAGAGTCATATTTCCATGTTCTATTTCATTAAAAAAGGTCGTGAAAGTAAAGAAGGACATCCTCCCTCATATTTATATAAAAAATATTGTGTGTGCAAAATGAAAAATTTATTTGCCCATTCAAATGGGTATCAAAAGTTAAGATCTAAGTTTTAGTTGCAGGAATGCTTAACATTTGAAAGTGCTAAATGGTATCTTGATTGCAGCTTTTCAAAGAATATGACAAGCGATAAAACCATGGTCTCCTAATTATCTCATAAGAAGGGAGTGTTTGTCTCTTATGGTGATAACAATAAGGGAAAAAATTTAGTTTGTGGTACTTTTGATAAGTATCCTAGTCTAACAATTAGGGAGTTCTATTGGTTAAATGGTTGAAACAAAACTTATTTAGCATGCATCAATTATATGACAAAGGTAACAATGTAACCTTTTATTCTTCTTGATGTATGGTTATAAAATCCAAATCAAATGAAACTCTATTTATGAGCTCAAGAAGTGGAAATATCTAGACTGTGAATTTAAATAAAATCCCTTCAAGTGATGTATGTCTCTTGAGTAGCGAGGATGAATTTTGGCTATGGCACATGAGTATAGCTCACATCTACATGGACCACTAAAATAACTTGGTCCCAAGGATCTCATTGAAGGTCTGCCTGACTTGTATATCAAAAATCAAAAAAATTATATGTTGCATGGCAAAAGGGTAAGCAAGTAAGGGCCTCTTTTAAACTAAAAAACATTATTTCCACAAATAGGCCCTTAGAACTGTAAGTCTTGGTGGAAACGTCTACTCCCTAGTAATTGTGGATGACTACTCTCTCTACACCTAGACATTATTCTTTTCTCAGAAAAGAGATGTATTTATGTATTTTGAAAATTAACCAAAGTTATCCAGAATGAAAAGAGGAGTAAGTATTGCATCCATTAGAAGTGACCACGTGGATAATTTTCAAACGAAAAATTCAATTTTTTAATAATGGTATTTGACATACTTTTCCACTCCACAAACTAAAAAAAGGGTAGCGGAGAGGAAATATAGATCACTAGAAGAGCTTGCAAGGATGATATGCAATAAATCAGACCTTCCTAAATATTTCTAAGCTGATGTGGTAAGCATTTCCATCTATGTTATGAAGAAAACACCCTATGAACTATATAAAGAAGAAAGCTGAATATTTCTCACTTACATGTCTTTGGATGCAAATGTTTTATCCTAAAAAACAGGAAAGATAACCTCCGAAAATTTGATGCAAAAGCTAATAAAGGCATATTCATAGGATATTCCACTTCGAGCAAAGCTTTAAGAGTCTTTAAAAAAAGAACCCTAACCATAGAAGAATCAATTCATGTTACTTTTGATAAACTTAACCCTTAAACCATTAGAAGTAGAAGTGATTGATTGTGCAGGTATTTTGGAAAAGACAAATCTGAAAGAAAATGATCAAGAAGTAGAACAAATTCAAAGTCAAAATCAAGTCATGCACCAAGAAATTATTCAAGATCCAAATATCGATACTCTTTTATATCATCAAGATCTTCCAAGAGAATTGAGGATGGCGAAAAATAATCTTATCCAGGATGTTATTGGAGATATCTCTAAGGGAGTCACTGCTCGACACTCCCTTATTAAGGTATGTAACTTTGCGGCTTTTATTTAAAAATTGAACCAAAAGGAATCGCCGAGGCTATCATTGAACGAAATAATGTTTAGGATCTAGTTTCCAAAGCTTAAGCTAATCAAGTGAATGGTACCCGATGAGTCTTTTGCAACAAGTTGGCAGAGATGGCAATGTTTTAAGAAATAAAGCCAGACTCGTTGCAAAGGGTTACAATAAACATGAAGGAATAAATTTTGATTAAACATATGCCTCTATATCTAGATTAGAGGCTCTAAGGGTGTTATTAGTTTTTTCCTGGATCATGAATTTCAAACTTGTTCAAGTGGATGTAAGTAGTGCTTTTCTAAATGGGTACATCCAAGAGAAAATATATATTAATCAACCTCAAGGTTTTATTACCTCGACCTTTCTTGATCATGTTTTCAAACTTAAGAAAGACTTATATGGCTTGAAACAAACTCTTAGAGCTTGATACGATTGTCTAAGCAAATCCTTACTTGAAAACAAGTTTCAAAGAGGACAGATTGATAAAACTCTTTTTATTAAGAAAACCAAGCATGACATTTTACTATATCAGATTTATGTCGATGAGAAGGTAAAAGAAACAACTTGCACAAAGAAGGGAAATTTATTATGGAAGATCAAATAACCTTTATATAGTATAGTGAGGTAGACAAGTCAGCGGTCGAAAATAAAGGAAAACATGAAGACTAAAAATGACGCTCAAATTTGCTTCAAGTTTACAACAACACTTGAGTGTACTTGAGCACCATAAAGGGGAGATCACCATATGTAAGAACAATCTTGCGAAGCGTCTCCATGATGAAATTGACATTTAATGCACTTATTTCCTAGGTCGTTGACTCTGACTCTCTAAATCTTTTCCTTTTCTTCGAATGAAGAACCTGTAGAAAAGACCTTGGTCTAGGGTGACCTCAACCCGGTATTCTGAAAACTTTCCATTATTGTGTTATGTTAAGTGTCAGGTGAAACTGTTCCGCGCCAGCTATAGGCTTAATGATGAGGAGGCTCAATCATTGATCCAAAGCACAAGGTGTTAGAGGCACAATACACCAATAACTGTAGGACCCATACTTGATCCACGCCACATATGATTATTCATCGTTGAATATTATATAACAGATCCCGCGTTCGACGTCGGGAAGAATGATACGTCTCTAAGAATCTCGCTTATATAAGATATCTCACACGAGACTTGAGGTATATTCTAACCATAGTTTACTCTTACTTTTTTTTACTATTTACTCGTTGATTTGGAAGTTAGAGTGTTAATTTTACAGGTCCACTCACTTTTCGTTGTACAAGAAGCTTGCTCTCCCGGGTCAAGAATTTACTCCTACACTTCACCATCTATTTCTAATTCCTTAACATCACAAATGACTTTCCTTAATTTCTTTGGCTAGTCAATTGAGAGGTCCCTCCATTTACTATCGTAATCAATTATTTATAATTTTTATTAAATATTAATTTTATCATAAATTAAAGTTTATAGAAGTAAACTAATAGATTGTTTTCTCATCATAACCCAGCTTATATCCAAAATAAGAATCGATAAAATAAATTTTAAAATTAACTTATCAATATTCTAGTATCTTATAATACTCTATTGAAATAAATAAGATATAATGCATTTATCCTATCGTATCATCGAACATCCCATTAATACTTTTCCATTTTGGTTAAATTCAAGGAATTAGCAACATAAGAAATGGTTTATTATAGTTCAGTAAACATGAAAAAAACCTATTAATAACTTATGATACATTTGCAGTATATACTATAACTAGTAAGCTAACAATTATGGCTGAACTCGAAGAGCTTTCGGAAAGGATTCAATCACAGAAGTGGATAGAGTTTGTAGTTTGCAATCAGATGCAATGAATTGAACATGCTCATCCATCATAATCACGTTGATTAACTTCATCAAAACTTGTTCAAGCTCTTCTCCATCACACCAAGCATGAATTTCGGCCTTAACAAGTGAAGGATCTTTGCATATCAAATCCCAAACTGGAAAGTTCTTCCTCGGCATAACAAAGTCTCTTTCTCTAAGGCGCAAACTAGGACAGTAATCACCAGCACCATCACCAAGGTAGATGAACCTCTTGTTATCCACTTCACAAACTGTATTTTGAATTCTATCAATGATTAAACCCTTGCACATGTTTGGAGGGCAAGGATTAATACATCCATGTGAAGCCTTGTTAAAGTCATGATAAGGTGAAATTCTAACCCTTCCTTCTTGGTTAACATAACCTGGATTACTATTAATCTCCGAAAAGTATTTCTTTATTCCCAAATGCTTCAAAATAGTTTCGATGTAAAACATATTCGCATCACTCACAATCCTCAAATCACATCCTAAAGCATATGCTGATTTAATAGCAGGTATTATTCTGTGATGAATTGGAATCCTATGAAGAACCTTTTCAATATCTTCATTGGTTATACCATGTGAATGAAACTCCATCATCATTTTGTCCTATAATTCCAAAACACAAAAACTCAAGTTAATTATTTATTATGCCATTTAGACGTAATTATAAAAAAGAATACAGTAAAGAGAATAAAGAACATACCATGACAGAATTCCAAGGCATTGTGGGAAGCAGCTGATTGAACAAATCAGTGAAACCTAATTCCTCAATCAACCAGTTATCACTATCACAATCAATGATGGTTTTGTCGAAGTCGAAAACAATAACAATATTTGACATTGTTTTCTTTGTGGGAATGGGGATGGCAAAGATTTGAATGACCTAGAAAGAAAAAACTGGTTTACAAGATTGGTTCTTGGCTTGAATATTTGAACACATAGAGAGAAAGGTATTTATAGGGAAAGTGTTGGAGAATATTTGATTTTGATTCCAAAGGAATATTACCTTATATCCTTTGGCCAAGAAGCTGTTAAAGTAGTTAGGTTTAGGAGAATTACTTTTAATCCTCGTGGCATTTCAAAAACTCCATCTCGGCCGTTCGTTTGATTAAATTTTGATTAGGCAGAAGATTGGAGGGAGTGGTTTGTTTTGACCATGACGGCAAACGAGAATAAATGAGAAATATATTAGGTGGCTCTGTGGGTTGTGAGCGTGTAAAGCACTCATTTTCTTCTCTACCACAAGATGAATTAGCATGTTGCAACTCATAAGAATATTCCGAGTATAGTTCCATTCTTTGTATGGTAACTTTCCCTTCAAGGAACTCAAATGATGAATCTAATAACGTGAAACCAACTTATGCGGTGAAGAATTCTATTTAGCTGTTAGTCTAAGATTTTCGACTTAAAAATTCAACAAGTAATGTGGATATGAGATAATAGAAGTACTAAGTGTGTAGTTCAATCCATGTCTTTTGACATCCAACCACAAGATTTAATATGAAATATTATTACAAAACACGTATATAATGCCATGGTCACGACGGTTCTTTCACCACTGTGGTGACATTTAAAATAAGACGCTCTCATATTATTTTTATTTTTTGATTTTAAATTAATTGTATATAATAACGGTTGGTGAGCCAACCGTGGTGAAATAGTCAAATTATCATGGATTCGAACTTCAATACCGTCATATATATTATTCCATTAATATTAAGGCGCGCCTTTTCTTTTTTATTTATTTTTAAATAAAAAACTTAAAGAGTTATGACTACGGTTGGTACGTTCCACCATTGTGATATAATTTAATTTGTTTTTTTTTATTTAAAATTTTTAATTGTAAATTAAACTCCGGTGCTTCTTTATGAAATTTCATATGAAAGTTATATATCATAACGGTTGATGGATTTGACCGTGGTGGTATCTTTATAATATTATACACTCCTAGTTCGCTTGTCTCTTCAGTATCCTTTTTTCCATTGAAAAAAGAAACTAGACGAAACAATACATGATTTCAACCCTAAACCCTAACTTTGTGAAACAATACACCATCGTTCACCCTAACTTGTCTCTTTAGTATCCATTCTTCACTGTTTATTCGCCATTTTCGTCATCATCGTCAAGAAGGTTGGAAAGACCATCACGATCGTCATCATCGTCAAGAAGGAAGAGTACAACAACACCGTCGAGAAGGAAGACGACAACGAAGAAAGAAGGAAGATGACAACAACACCAACACCAACACCAACATCATTTACTTAATCATCACATTTAGGATACGTAAAATATTTTTCCCATGCATCTACAGTAAACTTTATTTGTCATTGTTGTTGTTGTTTATGTTCTTGATGTTCATGTTATTGTTGACTTTGAACATAGATGTCATAAAGAAAAGAGATGTCACAAAGAAATGAGATGTCACAAAGAGAAGAAACCCTATCGAGTTCTTCATCAGATTGTAGCGGAGAAACTGAAACAAATGAGTGTTGTGCGAATGAAACTCAAATAGATGATACTCAATCAAAAAGATCACAAAGAGGTGTCACAATGATGCCCCAATTTACATCAGTCCGCAACTCATCAGGTGCAAAAAGTCCGATTAAATTTGATTCGTACTACAGAGTAGTTGATTGTGAACACTACTCAACTTTTAATAGTTATGTTGTGTTCCTTGGACGGAGCAAAGTAAGTATATTAATAGATGATTGGAAATCAGTGGATGTGAAAGTCAAAGAAAACATATGGTCCTATGTTAAGGTATTACATACTAATATTTTCATATATTAGATATCACTACCTATAATTTATAATATATTGATTTAAATGTAGTTGAATTTTGAGTTTACTGATGACCCAAAGTTGCAAAAAAAATGGATCTCTTATGTCGGTACTCGTTGGAGGAGATTTAAGTCACAACTCACGGCTGACTACATTAGGAAGCCTAAGAGCGGTCTTGATCTTCCTAGAAAAAATATAGTTTTATATCAAAGAAGCAATGGAAGAAGTTTGCGAAGATTCGTCGTTTTGAGAAATTCAAGGTTAGTACTTTTCTTATTTAACCGATAATGTTATGCTAATAAGTTATAAATACTAATCATATATATTATTCACTATGTTAATAAGAGCTTAAAGGCGAAGTAGGAATACGAAACAAGGGAAAGAACATGTACCCCCATAGATTGTCTCGTGGGGATTACAAGAAACTTGAGAAAATAATAATGCTTGAAAAACAACCACAAACAGGAGATGATCACATCCCATCCCCACCGTAGAGACATGAAAAATGGAAGAGGACTCGATTAAGACCAAATGGAGAGTACACCTCTGAGGCAATAAGAGTAGTTTCCGATAAAATTGTAAGTATGATTTGTTTTGCTTATGTTATGTGTTACTTAAATGTGTTGGTAACAATATACATAAGTTGTTCATGTTGTGTAGGATAATTTGGTTGAGGTGGCTCGTGAAGGCATATTTATTCCAGAAGCACGACATGACATATTAGTAGAAGCAATCGGAACAGAGGAGCATGGTGGGCATGTCCGTGGTGTTGAAGAAGTTGTTGTCTTGAGGTTATTCTTTGGGTCTCAAAGAAAAAGTAACGAAAGCTCAGAATTAATTGCACAAAAACAAAAGATTGAGTCTTTTGAGAAGCAATTAGAAGAACAAAAGAGGTTGTTTGAAGAGGAGAGGGAAAAAAGGGAGAAGGATGTGCAAAGGTTTCAAGAGTTATATTCGGTATGTATTTTACTTGAGATTTTAGTGTTTTTTCGAAAATGTATGATATATATATATATATATATATATATATATATATATATATATATATATATATATATATATATATATATATATATATATATATATATATATATATATATATATATATATATATATATTGTGCTTATTTTTGTTCTAACTGGATATTATGATGTAGAGATTAAGTAAAAACCTTGAACAACTTACAAACGAAGATCAATGTTATGTTGATGGTGATCATGATCATGATCATGATCAAACTCCAAGTAGAAGTGTTGTACGTTGTGCTTCCACAAAAGGAAGTAATTATTCAGCCCCCCCCCCCCCCCCCCCCCCCCCCCCCCCCCCCCTCCAGCTAACTGTAATGAGTTATTGGATCATAACTCAAATGAAATCACCACGTTATACTTGTATGTTGCAGTGATGAATGATACACAACCTCTCCCACTAGAACATTGTCCATATGTGGATTTGTTCTATTACAATCCTGAAGATGTAAGGGATTTTCTCGATGGATATAAGTGTTTGGACGTAGGAATTTTGCAAGTTTGGTGCAGTAAGTATATAATTGAATATACACATTATCATTTTTTGTATTTCCTCAATTAATTTATTCAGTTTCTTTAACCATTTAGGTACATTCACCGTATTTGTATAGAGCTGAATAAATTGAGTATCTATGGAATATTGGATCCTCTTTTTACTCGATGAGCGTATAATGAACCAAAAGACATTCAAGAGTACTTGAAAAAACGGTAAATGAGGGAGGAAAAGAATGTTACTTCGCATAATTTCTCTGTTTTTAAGTATTTTTGTAATTGATGTTTATGTATTCTATATTTAGTTTTGTTTTAGCAAATACTAATAATAAATATGCTCATGTTTATTCAATGGTCATTATCAATTGATCATAATATCATTTAAGACGAATACGATAATTATACCGTGTTCCTTGCATGATCCACTCAACAAAAAAATGAAAGAGATTATTAATTCGTAAGTGTATGTTTAATTCATTTTATTTGATATTGTAAGTAGTTTAGCATATAATATGTTTAATTCATATTCAATGTACAGTATTGTGGAGCAAGTGATGAACAATGTTATAAGAAAGCCCTCATGGATCACTCCTAAAATAAGTGGCTCAATTACCTGTTTCTTTTATTTATGTTCATGTATGGTTACATTCATTTGTAGACGAGGAAATAACCCGGGACATACGAGTGTGGGTATTATATCATGAAACACATGTTAAACATTGTCCTTGCCGGTATTGTTGATTCATGGGTGTAAGTTCTCTAGTTTTAGGATTGACATTAATTTTGTAAAACAAATAAAGCAGTAATATGTTAGATAGGATATATTAATTTGCTAAAAGGAACGAGTTAAGCGAGAAGTCATATCTTATGTTTGGGACATCTTGAGTTGAAGTGTTTCAACATCTAGAACAACATGTCGAATAAGATATTCTACAAAGGAGCATATGAGATCGCGCCTGAGCTGAAGTGATTCTATTAAATTTGTTATGATTTAACAAGGGCAGAATATTCAGGAAATATTATGCAATCTTATGTGGCGTAGAATCAAAGATCAAGAGAATCAAGTCAGAATATCGAACATTATACAGTTCCTAAATGTGGAGATTATTTACGAAACTAATGATTGAAGACCTTGTTTATAGCAAAAGTTATTGCTGGTTTGTAACAACTAATCTGTTATTATCAGAAAGGCCAAGTCCAGTTAGGAATAGGTTATAAATAGAAGGGTTTGTAACCTAGTTTGGCATGGGTTCAAGATGTAGAATTCTAGGGCTTTGTAAAGGTGAACCACTCAGGTTGTGGGATGGTCACCATGTTCTCACTCAAAAACTTGTAGATAATGAGTTGAATATTGTTCTTGGAGGAAGATTTGAAGCAACTCCAAGTTGTTGTTCTTGGTTAGGAGAAAGGTTTTAAACGTGGGAGTTTAACCTTGAGTCTTAGCTAGGTATGGTCATGGAAGTGTGTCTTCTGGTTTGTTCAGAATTGTGTTGATTCAATCGTTGTCTGTGATTGATGAGGGATTAAGGAGGGCCTCATATAT